AGTGTATAGAAAGCTAAATGACACTGAGAAGGTGGGTCAGGGTCTTCTCTTTATTCATCCACCTATTAAAGGATAGAAGGGCATATAATGAGACAGAAGGGTGGTACATTGAAGGCAGACAGAGAGAAATTTTCTTTGCATGGAGTATATTGCCATTCATGAACAATATCAGCATGCATAAACATAACAGGATTCTGAAAAAGATTAGGCATTTAATAGCCTCCAACACCAACATGTCCTACTGCAGTGATAAATACATAAAATTCAAGACCACTGCATAGGTCTCAGGCCAATTGTACTTGAAGAGAATTGAAAGAAAAATCTGGGTCAGGCTGTGCTATAGCTGTCTCCCCAGCATCCCTTGTGCTGTCCTCGAAAAAACATTCCAGTTAGCACAGCCAAAGACTGTGAACTATTTGGACTGCCGGTTTTATTGAGTGTAATAGTCACCATGCTCCTGTGATGGCCTGTGATCATCAGTTTATTTATACTGAATACAGCAACAGTCTACTGGAAGATATCTGGCATTCTGACACCTACCTGAATGGCTGCTGAATGCTTTAAGTGTACATTAGTTATTTCTTCTACAAGTGAACCCATATTGTGCTCTACTTAGGGACACTTGGGTTGGCTCTTAGTGGAGAGGTTCAGACCTTAATTGGTCCTGTACAACTCCTGTCTAAACCAGCCCAATGACAGGACTGTTAACCTGGCTGATATTCCCAGAGAGTCTGAAACAGCATCTTCTGCTTTACGAGACATACAAGTTCCCAACAGATGCTGCTGCACATCTGCTCTGCACAGGCACCTCCTGGTTACCTCCCAACTGACTTTGCTTACAGGCAACTTGGCCCTACCAACTGCGTGCCTGCATCTGTAGTTTTGTGACCAGCAATAAGCCTTGCACTTCTGCAGCCTTGATGCGATTTAGTGAGCCAGGGACCTCTGCACCATGCCCTGTTGTGCAACACAGGCAACCCAACACTGCCCACTGGCAGCTGAGACCCAGGAGTGAGCCCTTGAAGGATGTTTATAGATGGCCATCAGTTCTCTTTACTGGTACAGAGATATAATTTCACGTGTTATGGGACCAGGTGAGCCAGGAGATATATGGACACAGACCTGCAAATGCATCCTCTCTTCATCCTGGAAAGCGAGATTCTGCTTTTTACCAGCTTCCCTTTCACGCTGGCCAATGTGAGCCACAGCTCTCAGAGGACACTCTTAGAGGTAAAAATGCTGTGCTTGTCAGTTGCTGAACTTCTGAGCTGTTCCTTCCTGCCCTTTCCTCCTACCCCAAACAGTGAAATGTTTGCTGGCACTGTCCAGGAGTTCGTCTGTTGGCATTTTAATATGTATGTGTATGATCATCCAATTGCTACAATTACACTGTGGGAATCTTGTTTCTAAAAATACACCAATCTCTGCTGCTCTCCAACACTAGCATGAGATAATGTATCATGTTCCATAGTTGCCAGGGACACACAGGATAAAGATAATCAATACAGCTGGTAATACATAAAGACAACAACAATTATAATTACAACTGATTTCCCTTTCACTTAAAAACATCATCTTCTAGCCTACGTTATCACAGCTTCAGCTGTACAATGCATTAAAACAATCATGTGCTTCCCTTTGCTGAATAGAATCCCATTATTTTGCCTGAGAGCATCTTCTGAATAGCTCAAAGAGGTTAGGTTTATTGTGGGAACCCTAAACCAGTTCATTCTCCAGCAGGTGCTCAGTTGCTATCAATCAGTGTACTTCCACTGAAATCGAGAGCGAGCTACCTGTTTGCATCACTCAGGATGTGATTGCTGTATTTTGTCTAGGAAAATGTGTGTGCACATCATCTTTTGAATTCAAGGTGCAGCAAACAACTCCCTGCTAAGAAACCTGATCTTCATGTTCCAGCTTCTCTTCTGCATTATTTAAATTGCAGGTGAAAGCACTGTGGGTCAGTGGAGGCTGCAAAAAATTGACAGAATGCCATTCAACTTTTACTATTTAAAAAAATCATATTTTGGAAGTATTTTGCATTACAAATAGCCCCTCTGATCCTGGAGGAGCTACTCACAGTGTATGGCATTACTCAATCTTACTGTTGGATATTCTGGTCCAAAATAACGTCTGCCTGGTGAGTGAAGGAGGGGGCCTGGGAGTCTGAACTTCAATGTTGTAGCCAAAAGTCACAGTGATGAGACATTAGGTGTGTGCAAATCAGTATATTCCAAATTACAGCACTGATTGCTGAGAAACTGTTGTTACATCTCTGTTCTTCCCTCTCCCTGCCCATAGAATAACAGCAGTAATACTAGAAATGGCAAGGAGCATTCATGAATTAACACTAATTGTAAAGTTTGTCAGTGCGTTGAAGTTCTTCAGTGAGTGGCACTAAATAAAGTACACCTTGGTCGGTGTCTGAGGAGGACACATAAAGCTCTGAAGCAATAGGAGAATTCCTCTGGCTGTGCGGTTTCCAGCAACAGTTTTCTCTCGTGCCACTCCTGAGAAAAGGCAGTGGAAATGGAGGGGAATGGATGTGGAAGCTGAGTTCTGCACCTATGCAATAATCCAGAGCAGCTCCCAGCTTTGCCCCTCGGAGTCTGTTTTGTAGCCATTACAGCTCATCGTATCTTTCCTCCAAAGCTGGGGTGTAAAAGGAACCCCATTATCCTTGTTGTGGCCTTTGTACTTTTAAATTAAAATATTTCATTTTCCCCTGGAGATTGTAAAGAATCTGTTACTTTCCTAAGAATCTTTCTTCTACTTAGAGCCATATTCTGTCCTTAGTTCTGGTCTGGATCTCTTCTAGGCAGTGATTATCTTTCCCATTGAACAGAAAATTTCTTAGAGAGCAGCCAGGAAAGAATCCTTTTTGCCTCTTTGAGCATGCAGTGCTGGAGCTGCTACTGTAGCTTGTCATACATTACAATACTGTCAGCACTGGCTTTTCTCCCATCACAAGGGTTTTTGGAGCCAGGCGAAAGCAGAGCCACTGAGCATTCTCGGAAGCCTCCAGCGTCTCCATGAGCACTTGGTGACAGGCTGCTCCACGGCATGGAGCTCTGCCTCTCTGCTCAATCGAAGCAACACCTGCCCATGGCTCTGGTCACCAAGGGAGCATGGCTCTTTGCTGTTAGTATCAGATTGCCTAGTACTGAAATTGTCCTCTTTTCCCTGCTGCTGAGATTTACTGTTCAGCTTCAGTGAAGTTTTTCTAATTAACCAGGCTTTTGCTCCTATCTTTCAGGGTCGCAAGGAAGCCCTGTTCTGCAAACCAGGAGTCAGCATAGCTCTGTTTCACTGTCGCTTCTGACTGCTCAGGGAGACTCACAGGTCTCCTGCCAGCTGGGAAGAGAGCTGCTGAAAGACACCTCCTTCTCAGGGTCTTTCACAGAATGACCCCCCCCCCAGCATCACAGCCCTGGTCTAGCAAGGCACTGGTGCAGAAACTGAAGCCTCAAAACCTGAACAGGATGAGAAATATGTAATTGGAGAATGCTGGAGCCGACATGGTGTTTCAGAGCCAGCCTCTATTCTTAGAAGAGTGGTGAAAGTCATAATTTAAAAATAAGATCCAGTGCACTGCTAGCAAAGAGTCATATTTGTGGTATTCCTGTGAGTAAATCCCTCAACATGAATTGGCTTGACTTCAAGCTCAGAAACACTCCACCAAAATAAGGCCCAGCTGTGAGGCGTGTGTAGTACTGATCTGAATGGGAGAGAAAGACATATGGCACTTGCTACATAAGGTGCTCTCAATGGGGTGGGCAACCACTTCCCTTCCTTCCCCCCAAAACTCATGCCTGTAGTTTACTCAGTGTTACAGATCAAACAAGAGCTTTTCAAGGGCCTCTGTAGGAGTTAGCCAATGCAAGTGGTGAAATTGGTTGTATATATTCTCCCTTTTGAAAATCCCCCCAGGTACTTACATGGCTGCTGTTCTGCTGTCTGGTGGGGAATAGATGCTGCTTTTACACCATTTACAGCCATTTCTGACTGTTGTGTGTATTTACCTCTGTCCTCCTCCTTATTTCTGGTTTGCATGTAGGTTACCTAATACTGTGTTTTAACTAGGAATCTCTAGATGTCTTAACATATCCCCTTTTAGGATTGTGTATAGTAAACAAAGGGCCAATTTCAGTCTGGCTTTGAGCAGGGATGGCCACAGATCCATGCTCGTGGGTTAGAGCTAGGATGAACTATGTGGGGAGCATCTGATTCATAATCATTTTATCAGGAGAAAAAACACAGGACTAGTTGTATTCAAATCCCGTTCATCTGCTGCTTCAGTGCTGTTTGGATTTTGAGGTTTCTCTCAGAAACCTCACTCATTTTTTACAGCCACAACTGGATGTAGGGCATAATCTTTTCCCATTTGGGTCATGCAGAATTTTTCCAATAGCTTTAACTGAAAGAAGCTGAGACCTTAAAGTTTCCTCTTGCACTTACTCAGGTCAACGTGAACTTTAGTTAGGATCGTGCCAACAAGTGAAACACTGGATCTCATAATAACATATCTCTGGAGCTGATCTGGTGGTTTTACTCAACACGTAACCCTCACCCATGAATCCAGTCCCACCAGAGTGAACTGAAGCGTGTGTGTGAGTTACACTGCTGACGGGCAGTGTTTTATCCTATGCAAAAGTGATCAGCCGTCTGTGTCTCATGGCCTGGCTGTAAGGTCTGAGTCGTGCCTGTTAGCTCCTGAGGCTTACACTGCCCAGTGATGTCAGCAGGAGTCTTGCATGAGTAAGCAAGCTATTCTTTCCTCTAATGTTCTGTATAGTGCATTTAAACTGTAAAGGAGTTTTACACAATCTGCTACCAAAGCCACACATCTAATTCCAAAGTTTCACACTGCAGTTTTATGAGGGAAAGAGTTAGCTACATCTGAAAAACAGTCAGCAGATAAAAGAAGCCAGAAGTTAAAGAAGTCAAGAGGGTGTGTAATGAGCATTAATAATTCAGATAAAAGACAGAACAACCTAGTGAAGATTTCATGTTTTATTGTTATTAAAAGTTCATTATGAAATTGGCACAACACATAAAAATAGATCTGTGGTAAATGATACATATTACTACTATTGCCAGGTCATTTTGTGCACACCCTCACTTTTTAAAATCAGAAGGTAATGAATGTATGACATTTCATTGGCTAACTGTGAAACCCATGTTACTGCAGCAGAGAGAGGCAGTGCTTTCTGTTGACTCTATCAAATGGATAAAGCAGACAGAAATAGTCCTCTATTCACACTTAAAAATAAACTCAGGAGAATGAAAGAATAGATTTTTAGAGTATGCTCCAGCTGAAAATAACTGGAGAGGGAGAGCTAGAAATACCCCTTTTCTTATGGACCTATTTCCGTGAAAGTCAAAGGGATTTTTGTTATGGATTTTAAAAGCAGCAGGATATAGTTATTTGTTGACAGACAGATGGAGAGGCCTAGCAACAGAAGCTAGGGAGAACCTGTGGCAAAGTGTGAGTTTATTATTTTGATCTTGCACATGCTGTTGAATCTCCTTGTTGTAGTAATTGTGTATGTTCATAACAGCAGTGATTGCTGGGAGGAGCTGGGAGGGTGTATCAAAGCCAGATAAAGCGTCTGCAGCTCATTTTTTCTCCCCGTTTGGGTTGGCCTTGGTTCTAACCCCACATACCATTCATTGCAAAGTGACTTTTACCTGTACACTTTCTGATCCACATGAGAAAATCAGAACAATACCCACGATTACAAAAAACCTCGTCAGGTCACTAACTGTTCCTAGACTTGGGTAGCTTTTCTTCCTAACTTCTGTGCTTATCACAGTGAGCATTTAGGGCTGCCCTCAGCATGACTCTTGTTCCTCATACTGTCATATAAATTCCAGGGGTGCTGGGAGGTTGCTTAGAGCCGCCACTAACTGGCTCAGCAGAATTGCGGTTCTGCAGTTTTCTGCATGGAAAGGTCACTGTAACCAGCCTCAGTGCAGAAAGCAGTGCTGTAGTTTTCTGTGGGGAGCACTTCTCATGGGTGGGAGGTAAGATGAGCCCCACATCAGATACACTGCTTGAATGTCTTTGGGAAAAAAAATACCTTAGTGGCATGGCTACTCCTAAATTTTCCTATTATTTATTTGGGAGCCTCTTTTAAAGAAGGCGAGTAGGAACATGAACCCATTCATGCCTTCCAAACTTGCAAGCAACGCTGGTTTTTTGCTGTGTGTCCTAGTATGGGGTTGCAGAAGGTGGCAGCTAACAATGTCACAAATGCCCATCCCTGGGAAACTGTCACGCAGCTCCACAGCCTGTGCTCTTGGCTGGCTCTGAAATGCCCACTACCTCCCTCTGAACTCATGCTACGTTAGGACTACAGCACGTCATGCTACCCCAACCTTACTACCAAGCTTGAGAGTGCTGTGGCTACTCTGTTCTTGTTTCCTCCACAGTGAACAGTTTTAAATCCCGGAAGATAAAAGTCTCAGTGCTCCTCTCTTACAATAAAATCTCAGGGCTTCAGTCTCAGCCTCACAGCAGAAGAGTGACAGGGGTGGAAAGCTGGCACAGCAGAATGGTGAATCAGGCTCTCCCTTTGGTTTTCAGGCTGTTTACTCAAAACAGCCCTTGAGAAAGATGCTATGCCTCAAGCAGATGTCACATTCAACCGGTTTAGCAATATTACGCCTATTTCTTCTCAAGCTAGTCAAGGAGGAGAGCGAGAATATAATATATGTTAGTGCAAGTTCACATAGACAACATGAATATTTAATACAAAATGTTCTTTCAAGCTGGGGCAAACATTTCTAATTGTGACACAAAAAGAAGGTATTTTGTAACATTTTTAACAACTTGGCTGTGAAAAAGCATTTATGTGAAATATGTTTAGATACAGACTACCTCACATGATACTGAAGTATTTCAAGGCTCTTTCTAAGTAGGCAATAACCTCTTTTTTTTTTCTAATTAAATCAGCTTTATCAAAGCCAATTCCAAACGTAACTAAATAATTTGGTCATGGTTTTTTTGTTTTATTTTCTTTTTCCTCTTTGGAAAAAATGAAGCTATGCTAAGTTCAGGGATTCCATTCCACGTGGGGTTTACCCATTCAAGGCTTCTTTCATTTCAGAATTAATTTCCTCATTCAGAGGAAACCACGGAAATATTCAGAAAATAAATTTTAGCATAAGATTTCAAAAGTTGGTTCACACACTCACTTAGTCCTGAAGAATTGCAGCTTCCAAGAAGCTCACAGACTACTTGTCCCGACTGAAAAACATTTTAAAAACCTGGCCCAATTTGGAAACAGTCTTATTTCAGGTCTGGTAGGATATATATCCAAAATGAAGATCTGAATAATCCCTAAATTGTGGAGACCGAAGAATTCAGATATAAATTTTGCAGCATAGTCTTCCATCTTAAATGTTTGGATTTGGCTCAAAGTTCAACTGAACAGAAAAGTTTAAGGCCTCGGTTTTCTCTGACTTACACTGCACATCGCAGCGTTCAGCAGCAGCTTCTGAACGCGGTCAGCCAACGTAAACCGAGCATGAGTGCAACAGCCCTTGGATACATAGACATCATCCTTCCTTCGCCTGCCATAGCCTGGTACTGCCCAAGAGCAAAAGAAAAATAAAAAGGCTTCCAAACTGGTGTTAGACAGACAAATAGATGTGGAAGCCGTAACTGTGACTTTCTGCCCTCTCCTGAGCTCTCAGCCAAACCACAACCCATCAGAAGTGGGTTCACAGCCCTTCTTGCCTCGAAGCCAGGCTCGGAAACCACAACAGGGCAGAATCAGGTGGTGGGTGCTGCGGTTGGTAGAGTTATGCAAAGCCAAAACCAGAATCAGCTTCAAAAAAGCATTTTCCTGAGACAGAAAACTACTAGAACGGGAAGAAACGGGAGTGCCCAGCACAGCGGCTGGGAACAGAGGCAGGGCAGTATCACTGGGCCCTTGCTCCTGACAGAGACACCGCTGACATGGTGGTGCAATGAGTTCATCTCAGCATCCCTGGCCTGGACACTATGCTGTGCCAAGCCTGTGCAGGATAGGAAAAGTCCGAGGGCTGTGCTAACCTACTCCTGCTACCAGGAATCCCAAGCAGCTGAAAATTCAAATCAGCCAAATCCCTTTTTCTGGGCTACGGTAAAGGCATGGAGGGGAAATCTCTACTGGCGTTGTGCCGTCAGGGAGATCCCTTTTGGTTTTGTGCTACTGTAGGGTCATGGTGCTACTTACTCTCTCCAGCCTCCTACTTTATGGCCCACTTGGACTAGCAGGACAGCCTCAGGCAATGGCACTGCATCAGCAAACCTGGCTTTACATATCTAGTTGGAGAACGCACTAGGCAGGGAGGGTGCTAAATACCTCTCCAAACAGAATTCGTCTTCTGCCTTCATCTCCTTCGGAACCATACAGCATTTCCAAGCTGGAGAAAAATCCAAACACCTCATGTAGAAGCACCTTTCCCTTGGATTTTTATTATCATCACCATCATCATCATCATAATTTTTAAGAACCTATTTTGTACCGAAACACTGTCAGCATTCTTTATACAATGGAAAATGACACAGTCATCATGTATCATGTAAAAGAGTAAAAACAGAGCAAGACAGGAACATTTCATATCAAGATTCAATCTGGAGTACAAATAGAATCTGATGTACAACTTAAAAGCCACACACCAGATTAAAAAATCATCTGGAAAACAACAGGTTCTCTCTTAATTTGGAAAAAGGAGGAAAAGTCAGGGAATGTCAATGTTAAGGCTAAAAATTCCATTTTTAACTTGTATTTTATAGGTGGCAGCCTCATTCTTAACTTGTCTGCAGCAGCAGCAACGCCCCCCTGGCTTTACAAAGAGATTTGCACTTGCATGAAATAATAATCAGGCTTCTATGCTCGGAGGACTCTGATTGACCTCAACAGGCTTTGGACTAGAGCCACAGTTGGAATTTCAGCTTGCAGTCTAAGGCTTCTTAACTGCAGGCCAAATTAGCGCAAAATGAGGCTTTGCAACTGGCATTCTACCCTTAACTTTGGATATTCCAGTTCTGGTTGCTTTAAACCACAGCTTTATTGCAGGTTTCACATAGTTCTGTTTGTGAGATTCTTCTCTCTCTTTTTTAAAATACTGTGCTACAAAGGATGTTTTTGTATTATGTCTTAGAAAGTCCCTATATTACATGTTTTCAAAATTGCCTAAATATATGTTTATATCATGATTATAACTACTCAGAAAGACCTGCTATAGTCTATTGTGAGCAGCCAAGGAAAAAAAAGTCTATTTAGTCCTAAAGAATTCAAGAAAAGTGGCTGGGGTGATTTTTTTTTGGCTGTGTTCATTTATAGTGTAACGCAATGACTGTGTTTATACAGCTATACCTACTATTTAAAAAGCTACTTGAAAAGTTATTATTCATGTGCAGTAGCTGATTTTCAAGCATTAATAACTTGGCTGTCTAGACAAGTTTTAATTGTCATATCAAAGGCCGAATATGTTCTCAAACAAGTGCAAAATATCTCCCATCTCCCTTGGAAAGAGGCTGGTTCTCTTTCTGAACTAAGAGACTGCCAAATTTAACTTTTTCTCAGGTTATAAAAGCACAGTTAAACCTACAAATCTGCTGTTTAATTTTTTAAAATGGATCGACTTTAACTCAAACCTATCCTGTGCAGCAAAGTTAGTAAGCCCTGAAAAGCAGTTTCTAGTGAATATGCAAAGAGTTCCCCCCACCCCCACCAACTACTGTGCCCACATTTTCCCAGGGCCTAGAGGGCTCCATTAAAATGTAACTAAATGTTCGATAGGAAACATGTTTTTTCAAGAATGATACGTAAAGCTTACCCAAAGAACCTAAGACATTTTTGTACATTCAAAATGTTTACACTTTGCTGTTCTTAACCATCAGTAAGATTGTTCATTTTTACTAATAATACATACAAGGAGTATAAATAAATAAACTACAGATAAGCTTTAAAAATTGTATTAACAATACATTGTGCAAAAACTCGTTACGATCTACATTCTATGCAAATACCCTGACTAAAATACACAGGCTGTGTCCTCACACCCTCATTCAGTTTTTGCACAGTCCTTGGGCCAAATCGGCAGCTGGGAGCAATCGGCAAAATTCCATTGCAAGCCATGAAGGTAATGCTGATTTACACAAGCAGAAGAGCTGGCCCCCAGGCGTGTGCAAAAATCCCATAGAAATCAGTGGGAATTGTGCTTGACTAAGGACTAGACAGTTTGATTGTACCCCGTTAAAGTGAGTGGGAGTTTTGCCATCAATTTCCATGGAACCAGGCTCAGGCCCCGGGTAAGGACGTCAGCACGTGGCCCTATGTTGTGCTACACTACTCCACTTCAGTGCAGAAACAGTATTTGCAAAAGAAAAACTTTTTTTTGTTGTCACTGCTGTTCAGTAACCGGTTTTAGCGCTGCATTTCAGAAATTGCCTTTCTGTGAGATTTGAAACAAGACTGCAAGTCTTTCTGAATCCATTCCAATTTGATTATCCAGCACAGGTGGGCTATTTTGATCCAAGAAAAACGGCTCAATGTCTATTAACCAACAATGTTCTTCATTAGGATAAACAACAGCCCGGTTCATTGGCACAGGAGTGAAGAACTGCATGCGGAAAAGGAACGGGGCAGCCTTCCTACCATAGCTGTGTCCAGAGCCGGCTGTCACTTCTCCAAAACGACGATGGCACCTGAACCGGTTTGGAATCTGCATTCCTAACAAGCTCAGCCAAGTTTTGTAAGCTGAAGATCTCCATTTATCTTTATCGTGTCAATTGCTGACAGTGTTTCAATACGGTGGTAAAAATCAAAGAGCTGATGTCCATCCACAAATATTCTAAAACGGGGATGCTCGCAAAGTATCTCAACCTGTAAAAAATAAAATGATGAAGCATGTTGTTCACAGTGTAACCGGGAAGTTATTTCACAGAATACAAAGAGCATTCCATTAGCCTTTAAATAGTGTTGGTGCAGTTACACATTTTGCTACTTATGTGCCACATAACAGCCAGGGCTGAGACCAGTTTGCCCCCATGACACCAGTTAGACTATGCTCTTACTTCACAAGGACGTTAATCCAATCTCACACTGTCGTGGCGGGAAGGAGACTGGAACCCAGTCCCACTGGCTTCAGGGAGGTTTTGCCTCTTGGTATAATGCCAGAAACAAACTCAAACTGCTAATTACAGGGGGAAGAAATTGGTCTCCAACCCAAATCTTGCATTCCTTTCTACAGAATTTTTTTTTGCTGCAGAATGAGGGGGCAGTTCCCTCTGCAATGCTTTCCACACTTCCATTAATTTACTGGAAGACAGCAAACACAAGAGGAGGGATAGGTTTGCCCTCCCCTCCCACACATACTCAGGCAGCTGCTGCAAAACTAAAAAGCCTTCACTACCGTGGCTGCAGTCAGCCCAGGACTCCCTGTTGGACTAGACTCCATACCGGGGCTGCAGTGAGGGAAATGTGGTGCTTGGATTCAGCTAGACAGTTCGCACAAGGCACAAACAGGATCAGGGAGGGACACAGCTCATCCCTCCTCCTAGAGCCCTGCAGAAATGCTCTGGAAAAGCAATAAAGCCTGGAGCTGAACAGGCTTGGACAGGTCGGGAGATTCCTGATGTTAGGGGTGGCTTGAGAGGGTGCCCCATAGTTAAGCTTCGCTGGAGCTGCCCCAGCAGGAAGCAGGGATATGAGGGCACAGAACGTGCGCTTCTCGTACAGGCCCTCGGAGACCTCCAGGTCCAGACAGGCTAAGAAGAAAATCTGCAGGGAAGCCACATGTAAATCCTGGGTCATTTCAAGAGGCTGGTAGTCTGCAGTGAAGTGCTGCTTCCAGGCACTTGACTCTGCTGCTGTTACAGCGTATAAAAATGGGAACGGGGCCAGTGATAAACTGAGTGAGCCAAAGCCTGACTGACTTATGGCACATTGCAGTGGGAGAAGTGGCAGCAGACAGTCCAGGAGAGCTTGAGCTCCTGGGGACCTGGTAGCACACCATGTAACAGGGAAGTGCCCATGCTGCCGCGTAGCTCCTGTGTCACCGTGGCAGGCGCATCCAGCCTTAGGCCTTGTTATGTAAAAGATATGGTTAGCCTCAACACTGCTTACGATCCATTTTTTCAGATCACCCTGGGCCACGCCAGAACAGTAATTGGACTGGATCACAAGTAATTGGCAAGAACACTTAATAGTCTAATTTATTCACTGAGAGGGAGACCATCAAAGGTACAAAGTCAATTGGAAGCCTAAATTCCATTTGTGCATTTGGGGAAAAAAGAGGGGAAAAAAAGAAAAAAAGAACTCCCTTTCTACAGTATCTCATGCTGAACGTGCAATATTGCTGTCCTCTAACGTCAACTGTCATTAGTGGGACACCCACAAAACGTGCTCTGGGTAATTTGTCTGGCTTGTCTGAGGGCCCAGCCACCACCCGCTGCAGCAGGTAGTATAACCCCCTCAGCCAGAGCAGGACCAAGCCTCCAAGCCCTTTCAAGTGCATGTCCCGCACGCACCAAAGGGTGTTGCCAGTTCTGATGGGAGAGTTTGTAGAAGCAAGTAGAGCGCAACCGATTCGCAGCAAAACCAGTCATAAACACCCTCTCAAAGCCCAAGCATCTGGGGAGATGGTGAGCTTTTGGGGTTGGGGGAGATTGTCTTGGGGGCAAGAAGGATTAAAAGAGCTTGGCAGCTGGCCAGAGCATTGGCATTCAGCAGAGGGGCCAGCGAGGTTTCATAAGAGGGGTGGGGAGGAGGAGGAGGAGGAGGGTTTTTCTGGGTCAGCCACATGGAGAAGGCATGCAGCCTTTTTTTCCTCAATGTAGTGAAGCCGCTGAGAGAGAAGCAGCCCTCTGCAGCTGCATACTTTGTTAGTCCTGATTTGCAAAGACATCTTCACATAACCATAAACACTACAGATGGGAATCTGCTTCTAGGTCAATCCAGTCCATCCCTTGCACCACAGTATTTCCACATACACCATTTTGAAGGGACTACAGACTTAATTTGACAGGAGATTTAATCCCAGGGTTCAGAAAAGAATACCACTATTGCTTAGCTGTTTAATCTGCTAACACGAAGGGCTACGGTCAACCTCAGTGTAACATCCCTGCAGACAAAGGATGAACAAGATCCTTATTAGCTGCACTAAATTGCAAACACTATGTCCATTAAAAAAACCATCAAAACATACAGCAGTCCCACAGAGTATTTACATTCTCCAGTAATAACTTGTAGTGCACTAATAACATAGAGGTACTTTTAATTTATAGCTATAAAACTAAGCTCAGGAAGCGCGCTTCATCACACAGTATTACAACCTCCGACTTGTCATAGCACCCCGGTGAGGTGATCATAGCCCCATCTGAACTGCCTGCAGTTGCACGCAGCAGCGGGATCTCCACGCTACTTCTGATCGATACAAACAATCCGGCAACCGGTGTCTCAACTGGAGCAGTGCAGTCTACACTGGGATTTCACGAGAGGCAAGTCAGGTTCTGCTGCGACTGACCATATTATGCTTTATCAGATATGGTACATGCCGCTGTCAGCCTGGTACTCACCCTAAAAGGCTGGTCCGGTATAAATGGAAAGTAAGGAATAGATGATTGCTCTTCCCCCCATTCTCCGGCTACACAAGAGTTTCTGACAAACTGTCTGTCTGTAAACACGGCTTTCAGTTCAATAGCTATATCCGCAGGAGGATCTTCCGACTCCCCGCAAGTCAGACTGATGCCAAAGCTGCAACACAAACAGAATGGCTCTCATTCAGCCAGAAAGAAGCAAATAAGCCCCAAATGCCACCAGTCTCATTTCTCAGCTTATTAAAGCCATTGACGATATAGCGGCATGGGGGGATGACAGCTCAGCTCGTTCGGGGAATGCTCTGAAAGCTCAGCAGGGACAAGAACATGGTTATAGCATATATATATATATATATATATATGTGAGCATGTATATCTGTGCATGTGCGTTGTGCATATATGTGTGTATATATATGCTCTACATGCTCCTTTACTCCCGAGTGAAGTGTTGGGAAACAGGATCCCTTAAAGAAATGCCCCCTCTATGGGTCAAAGGAGAAATCTGCACGCTATATTTAAAATGATAAAAATAATCCCTTTCCAGAAAGGAGGGATCCGTGTGTATGTTTGTGTGTGTGTGTGCATGCATGTGGCCTCCCCCCTCGCCCCCTCCCCAGGCCCAGCGCCCCCGGGGCGGGCAGACCCGCCCGGGTGTTACCTCTCGGGGTTGAGGTCCACTATGCCCATAACTAAGATCTTCTTTCCCGGCCTCATTCCTCCTTTGATGTGCCCACAGAAGGGGACGATCTGGAAAGGACAGCGGGGAGGGTGGCGAGGGTCAACTCGGCATCAGCAGCGGCCGCCGGTGTGCA